ACAGGATCTACTTGCAGAAAAGAGGCATTTAGACCTTTTTGAGTGTAGATTGGTTACCATGCCAACAGCCTGTCTCACTGTGACTTTCTGAAATTTAGAAGTATTATTAAGAAAGTTTTGGTGGAGGGCCAATGGCTCCACACTGAAAACTGTGTGATACAAACTTGAATGAAATATGAGATGGTTTATGCCTTTGTCGTCGTTGCTGGCTGTTTTTAGTTTTGATGCTTGGATTCAACGCTGTACCTTGCGTTGGTCCATTATGTTCATTATCATATATAAAGATTCACAACAGGATTTCAGAACCATTTAATCAGCATTTCATATGAATGCTTGCTCATAAACACAAGTGTCAAAACATCAACTAAGAAATCTGGAAATGTGTGGGCATTTTCAAATGGAAAGTAAGGATTTGCTGAATAAAAAATATAGTGGATATAGATTAGAAGATGCTGACACAAATAAGACGGCGTCCCATGAGGACGTTTGACGTGTTACTCAGAATATTAGAGGCAGAAAGGAGAGAGTCTCAGTGCAAATCGGATTATGTGTTAAATACATTTTTATGCCTGTTTGCATCAGAAAGCTTCCCCTCAATTTCTTTAAAAAGTTCTATGTTCCGAGGATAAAGCCTCCGTTTGGTGTGCACAATGCTGTGCTTCGTTCATTTAGAGATTTTGTAAATGAATTTTGCATTAAGCTCTTTCGGGATGCTGTTAGGGATGATATATCTGCGTGTAGATTTCTGGGGATGCTGTTATTTTTCTACATTTCTGCATTGCAAATAGGGGCAGCAGGACTTAGTCATTGTGATGCACAAGTTTCCTTTGTTGTCTCGTGTTCCTCTATGCACACGCCAAAATGTACAGCCTCTCTGTCAGTTTTCTCGTCTGTGCCAGCCACTTCTGTTTTTCTTGTGTTTATTCATTTCATCTTCTCCCATTAGGGAAACGAGAAAATCTCATCACAGTGATTTTTAAGGTGGGGGGTGGATGGATATCGGATGGCTTGCCCCTCATGGTGCCAGTGAGATGCAGGGCACAGGGGTGAGGCTGCCAACAGGAGGTGGGCGTGGGGTGCCAAGCAGAGGCTCCACACTGAGGCACATGCTTAATTAGCATCCAAGATGGATGGAGGGATGGCAATACAGGAGGCTAATTATGCCGTTTGAAAAGAGACCGGGAGGAAAGCGCTCAGAAAAATCCTAGCATCTCAGTCAGAGAATGAACGCGCTACTCAGGCATTGTGTCAAAGCACTTCGATTCTCATCTCAGGCTTATTGTATATATGAACACACAAATTTACAGTGCAGTCAAAAGTGATCCAAGAAATTCATTTCCTGAGTCTTGGCACCGGCGGCTGATGAATGCGACAGCTGTGCTGCTAACGCCGAGTGGCGGTTTCACTGCAAATCACCCAGCGCTGTCCAAGCAGAGCTTTCTAATTTGGAAAAAATAAAAAAAGTGACATTTCGCTCGCTCACAGACTCATCGCACACACGCCGGGAATCCTGCCAGAGCTTCAGCAGGCGGAGGACCTCCGCACCTCCAATGAGTCGACAGAAATGCCGTTTTTGTTGCGTGTGAAAGCGTTTGTCTTCTCCGATGAAAATGATGAGAATCATTTTTGAGCTTTTCGGGGGTTTCATCACATGACACTCATGAGAAAAAGGAAATTCCCCGTCATGTGGTCTGCTGTGAAGCCCGCAGAGACGCTGGCTTTCACTCAACTGTTGTCTGCACAAGACATTAACCTCTCCATGGCCGACCCCAGACACAGAGCGCACAGACCCACACTGCAGATCCATGATGTCACCAGGTTCAGGACGAGGACGAGGACCTGCGTGCACACACCGCTGCTGAGCGGTGGAGAAGAGCCTCCCTGCTCTCCGACGCCCTTCTCAGACATCTTGACTGCTGCGTAAGAACTCAGACGAGATGAATTTCATGTTTCTGTTTTACCAGTTGCCATGGTGAGACTTTGAGACTTGTTTTTGTGTGTTTGTTTACTTGCGTGTGCGCCTGTGTGCGCCGCAGCAGTATTTCAAGGCATATCATTTGGCACTGAAGCTGGCTGTCTAATTTAGAGGAAATGGGCTTCCGCTTGAAAAGCATCCAAATGACAGACATCCATAATATGTGTGCGTGCGTGTGTGTATGTGTGTGTGTGTGTGTGTGTGAGAGAGAGAGAGAGAGAGAGCTAATAAAAGGATCATCCAGACCTATGGCTGCAGGCTATTATGTTAATACAATCAATGGACAAAGAATTTAAATCATCTTATCTAAACACGCATTTCCTTTTTTCCCCTCATCATTCTCTTCCTTTCTTTATGAAGCGACATCATACTTAGAATATTTATAAGACCGCGCTCAGTGCTCACACAAACACTTAACACACACCCAGAAGGTCGTCCACCTGAGTCCCAGCTTCTTGTTGTGACGAAGGCCCCCTTTATGCCTCTCTTTGCATGTCCCCCCTCTCTCACACACACACACGTCCAAAGAAAAGATTACCCTCCTGACATCATATTGAAGCTGCACACCCTCTCGACCAGCGCAGTGTGAGCTAAACATACTGTGGACGCATAAGCAAAAAGCCACTTGGGTGAATGGGAGCAGCAGCCTCAGCTCTGCTTTGCTCCAGCTTCCTGGCTCCCAGTCAGAGGCATTAGAGCTGCCTACATTACACAGACATGCTAATGATATCTGGTAATGTGCCACAGCTGCATTGACATGCAGAATGGGTTTGAACTCATGCATATGAGCAAAGCGGGGCGACAGAACCATCCTGCAGCCATTTGGAGTCTTCAGAGTGTGTGTGTGTGTGGGTGTTTGCTGGGTCATGTGACTTTTAATAGCCTGCATTGAAAATATGGCTGTTTGGCTCTTTAGTTTGCGACATGTGTGTCTGTCAAACCCATGATTCATCACTGGTGAACAAATGTGCCTGTCAGTCGTTGTATGTATGTGGCTCTGCTTTCGTGTTTGACCAGAATTGTCTTGTCTTCACGTCACACTCCATCTGTGTTTAGTGTGTGACTGTAGAGATGACCATGGAGTGACGCCCCTAGATATGCGTTTATGTGAAAATCCAGATGTATGATTATAGATAATTGAAGCTTTGTGTTTTCTCTGGCGACCCCTTCCTCCTCTGCCCTCAGGGATGACTTATTTGATCCTCTTTGAATTGTCAGAATTTTGATCCATATCCATTTTTTTTTAAATAATAATAGTTTAGATTTTTTCACAAGATTTCTTATCATGTTCACATTTAGAAGAAGGACATAGGTGACCATCCAGTGACAAAGCAAGCAGAAGCACTTTTGGAGCCTCCATTACTTCACTTAAATGCTCGAAAATAAATGGTGACCTGAGGTCTCACTTATAAAAGATGTTCTCGATCAATTTGGGTCTTAAGTTTAACAACTACATGGAAGCAGTTACTTTCAAAGACCTATTTGCAGTGGAAATGATCAGATCTACTGGAGGGAATCTGTAGGAAATGGTGTAATGTACGAGTTTTAACATTCAGAGGAATAGAGTGCTGGTCCTTTGAGCTGAGCCAGACACTCCTGTTTGTGTCATAATGCTGTTATTGTGCAGATCTATATTCTCTTTTCTCCATGTTTAACGTCAGATGATTATTTTCTTATCAGCCACAGTGCTGTCTTTCTGCCCCTCCTTGCTAGATGCAGCCGTTACACTCAAACTGTTTTGTTTGCTTTTTTAACCCTTTACTCTTTCTGACTGTTGAACAATATAAGATGCTCTGAGCTCGTTGCTCAAAAAGTCAGCTTTTTTCCTCATTATTTTTCTTGTTTTTCTTTTTCTTCTTGTCCGTACCTGCTCTTGTCTAAATCTTCATTATCCTGACATTTGAAGGGAACGCCTGAGGCAGGTGCCTTCTGCGTTAGTTAACTAGATTTATAGATATCACATGTATGGGTTCCATACAAGCATCTTAGAAGCAGCTAAACCCAGTTTTTCTCTCTTCAATACACAGACACGTTGTCCTGAAAGACCTTTAATAGAGTTGGGTTTGTTTCAACCTTATTGTGGTAAATGAGCTCACTGCGTCAGACACCTGTGGCTGTGTCTATCTCTGTAGCAGATTAAGCCAAAGCTGTGCTTACCAACCTTACTACCAGGAAGAAGTACAAAGTGTTTTAGTCCTTTTAAACCTCAGTGAGGATGCTAAATGCCACTGTTACAGTTTTTTGTGTGTTAACACTATTTCTTGGGTTCTGGTTATAGTGGCTTTGACCATTCTAGCCAAAGCATCAATGAAGTGACCAGCAGTTAATTATTTTTCTTGAAATGACAGTGAAGGTGTAACAGTGCAAATCTGACATCTTATTATTACGATGTGTGTCATGTAAAAAGGTGCTCTTGCAGGGGATTATTGAAAGTAGAGAGTGACGCTCTTGTGCTGAAAGCTTCCGGTGGCTAACTCACCATCTGAACCACTGACAAGACCAGCATGCCTTTTACTTCAGGATGGTAGGACCAAAATATGTAACTTTAGAGGATCCAAAGGTAAAAAAGGAGCATACGCCTGTATGATGAATGCAGTTAACTCAGTGCAGAACAGTCAGGCAAGCATAAGTGACTTGAGTTTAATGGAGTTAGCCAATTGGATGAGGGGTGCATGGTACCATCTGCAGAGATTTGAACACTCCACTGTGGGAGCTGGAGTCCTGCAAAAGGTGGGTGTGATCCTGAGTTAGCTACATTCTAGTTTTCCTCATGTTGTAAAGTGCAAAGCAACACGAGCGAGAAAAGCAACAAGGAGGCAAAAATATCCTAAAAGTTTCACCACGAAGCACACTGAAACTTTAAAACACTGACTTTGTTTTACATCAGTTTATTGACATAAAAAATTAACTTGAGCATGCAGCTGTTGACCTCAGGCATTTACGGGTCCGGGGCATTTTTCCCATTTTGTGTTTGAATATAGGATTGCCCAACCATTTACATTTCGTGTCCTGTGTCTCCATACAGGTGGCCCCCAGAGGAGCGGAGTCTCGACCTGACCACCGCTACACAGAAACAGACCGACATTACCCTTCACATCCCAGGTAAGATGCGTGTGTGTATGCATGCGTTTTATTCCTCAGTGGAGGAAATGAAGGGATAACTTCTTGCCACTCCCTCCTATTGTGTCTGCTCTACTCACACATACACACAGACACACAAGCAGCCCAGGCTAATCCTCTTTGGAGCTTATAATTAAATCTGGAGTGTTTGCCTTGGGAGTGTCTACTCATCCCAGGAATAGGACTGATCAGCTCTCCAGAGAACAGCACACAAGCAGATGGATTTCTGACACACACACAAACACACACGTACAGAGGTGGGTTTGTGCCTAACCTGGAGAGTGTGGCATTGACGAAACGGCATACTCCGTTTGTTTAACCATTGTCTTGTCAAATGATGTGGCACACATGCGTCTGTCCAGCTGGACAGAACATCCACCGTCTTCTGCCCGTGAGCACGTGTATGCACACGCTGAGCAAACAGCATCCTCATGGCCCGACAGCTAAGTGGAGCGTGTAGTGGCGTGGGGCGAGGGAAGCGAGAGGAGGAGAATGAGGAAAAGAGGGGACACTGGAATGGAGAGGAGGAGAGCAGAGAAAAAGAGAACAGTCATTTCACGGGTTATTGCGCCTCCTGATATGACAGGCACCAGGGAGCGCAGACATCAGCCCCGGCCCGGGCGGGGGGGGGGGGGGGGGGGGGGGGGGGGGG